ACCTCTACCTAACACAAACACAGAATAAACAGAAACGGACATCCATGCCGTGTGTGAAATTCGAACCCACAACCCCCGTGTTCGACCGTCTGAAGACATCTTCAAGTGAAAAATGAGGTCTGTCTCTACAAGCGAACGGTTGTATGCCTCTTTTGGATTATTCATTTAAGTGAATAATTTTGTTAACAGCTCTTTTAGAATGTCTCCTCAATTGAACGATTTTGTGGCTCCTTTAGATTATCCTATGAAGTGAATGGCTCCGAAAATCTCTTTCAGACCACTCAATCGAGTTGACTTCGTTGTAAATAAGTATTTTTTTTGTATATCTCCTTTTATTTGTACGATCAGTCCATATTAAAGGCTATAAGTATATCTTATGAAATACTTAATCTAAGACTTAAATACTAAGAAAGTCATGTCGGGGAGAGTAATGCTCCAGTGAGCATTCTCTAGGAATCTATTTCGAGTGTAACTTTGTTATTGTATGTGATACAGTTATGTGAGGCGCGTCGTTAGTTCGGTTGGCTTATGCCTTTTCAGTCTTCTGGGCTCGTCTGCGTCGTTTAATAATGTCGTTGCCAGTTCATTTGGGTGTGCTCTGATCTTGTATTTGTATTTACGGCTGATGTTTGTAGTTTCTTCCCGTACTGTGGATATGCCTAGATCGGCATGTAACAATCTGTTTGGGACGTACCACGGTGCATTGAGATTGCTATACTGTCTGCTGCTCCACGGCAGTCAGCACATTTCCCTACGTGTTACATATCGGTAGCAAAATGGTTTCTCTCAGTGAAACTGTGTTCACATCCTGACCGCTAAGTAGGCAGGTGGGAAATTCTAGTGATTCATGCGAGTTCGTATATACATGTACAGTGCTGAAACCTGCCGGCCTGTAACTCTCTTACCCAAGTTATTTCTTGTTGAGACTTAGGAATAGACCGAGGGTGTTTGAGAACAGGATTCTGAGGGGAGTATTTGGACCTAAGAGGAATGAAACTTAGCAGGCAGAGAAAATTGCATAATTGTGAGCTTCATAAGATGTACACCTCGCCATATAGCATTAGAATTATGAAGTCAAGAAGGAAACAAACAGGACAGGCGAAACAGCACATATGGGAGAGGTGTGTACACAGGGCTTTTATAGGAAAATCTTAAGGACAAGTCTGAGCAGGAAGGTGTAGATACTGGGTACGGATACGTCTGGCTCAAGATACAGATATGTGGCGGGCTCTTGTGAGCACAGTTATTAATCTTGGAATTTTCTGAGTGCCTGAACACTCTTGATGTCTCAAAAAGGACTCACTCCATCGTAGTCAGTTGGATTTATGAATCTGTTACGAATCTTAATTTCTTACAACTTAAACATCGGGGTTTCTTGCATGGCCATATAAATTCAAGAGGACATTAAATACTGTAAGAAACGTAATACTTCAAGAAATAAGAAAACCTACTTTAGATCATATAAACTAAATGTATAAAATGATCCAGATATTATTTTGAAGTGGAGACTGACAAATGTATTTGTCGAACCCAGAACCTCATTTTGCAACTGGATGCTTATACGAATATATTGAAAGGATCTGTCATTTTAAATTATAAGATTTTTTCAATTTTTAGCGCTCTTCTTTCCTAACTTACAGCTCGCTATGAATTCTGGCTGTCCTGATGTCTGTAGCAAACCTCTCACTCGTATGCAAGTTGCAGTTTTTGCTATGGAATACTGGAGAGTGTTTTTCTGAAAGAAGCTATTTATCCAGCGTGGCGTTTTGTCTGTGCCGCGCTTTATACAGAAGATACCAGGAGGTTGCCCCTCGCTCTTTTCCATATACTTTTCCACCTGTCGTAGATTTTTGTCGGAGCTGCGAGTAGAAATAGCTCTAATCTTTCCCCTAGCCACTTGTTACAGAGGAAGACCCTCATATTTCACCTTAAAAAGAAACAAAGCAAAAGCGTAGCAACTTCGCAAAGTTTTATTTCGCCCAGCGAACTGCAGCAAGATCATTTGGCATGAAATATGAATAATGATTGCTAGGAGACTAGTACACTGGCGCAAGGCAGGATAATACGATATTACTACGTGTTCATTGCACAAAATTAATGTACATAAGGGATGTCGTGTCAATTTGTCTGTCCACAGATTTTATCTCCGCAAATATGAAACGGATGCCATTAAAATATTATTCTGGGAGTCTGTTAAGATTTACGAGATGATTTAATTGTTTTCGTATTATCAAAGTGTAACATATAATTTACATGACATTATAATAATCGATAATTAACACTCCTCATTCTAATGTTGGAGGTCATGAATTCAAATTTCTGAAAGCGTTACCTAGTTGTTATTGTGGTCTTCTTCAGTCCCTTCAGACAAACACCTTGTGCTATATCTTAAATTAAACCATAATCACCTCTTTCCACATTTTTTTCCAGTTCATTATTCAATAACAACCCTGTCATTCGAAGAAACTGAAAATAATTTTAAATAAATCAAGATTATATTAACGAAAAATAAACCTAAGTTAAACTTTATGGATTTTCGCAAAAATGTAGTGTTTAAAAATTTCGATACTTGTCACAAAATAAAGATCTCGTTACGATCAACAATTTTTATTTGTATCATGTTTTAATCTGGTGAATATTCAACGTAACACCCTAACAAATTGTTTATGGTTGTGTGCTGTGTATTCTAAAATTAAGTTATTTTATTATTATTATTATTATTATTATTATTATTATTATTATTATTAGAGGGGGTGGGTTTCCCCCTGCACTTATACTAGTTATTGGTCCATTGTGCGTCCCCCTTTAATTTCGACTGTCGCTATACCCTACCGGTACTGGTGCGTGCTATCAGCCCCGTTCAGCCAACGAGGTCGGCCCTCGGTACCTCATATTTCCCCCGTCTACCAGAGGCATTGAAAACTACTTGGGCGGGAATCTTGTTGCCTAATTTTGCTCAGAGGTCTCCTAGAGACATGAGGATCTTTTACGTGCCGTAAATCTACGACACGGGACCCACGGCTTATAGTCCCTCCCGGAGGACTTGTTCCCTGAATTTTTCCGCCCTCAAAAATTCCAAGACCTCCGCCGCGTTTGAAAATTCAGTTAACTATGCAGTATATTTTTATCTGCCATAGTTGAAGACGGGTATGGAGAAAGAGTTTAGAAAACGCTTACCGGAGTACAAATTTCGACTCACGTTTCGTAGACGAGGAGAGGAAGTATGCTACAGAATATTGCTAACAATGAGGATTATAGACTTCAACGGCAAATGAGGCAAAATATTGCCACAATCCTTTCTAATCTAGTTGTGCTACCCCTGTTTACAGCAATCTACCAATACAGAAGAAAATGGAATGCGCCCTTTTTTATTGGATTTGGTTATTACAGAATTAGGAAATAATTTTTCTTTCGGGATCTTATTAATTGAATGCGCCTGTCTGTTTTCTCATTCAATTACGGGCAACAACATTACAGAAACAATTCCAATACTATTCCGCAACTCAGGCAGAAGCAATAGACAGGTAGCGTGTGCTGACTAATTTTTTTTTTAATGCTAGTGGGGTGGGACTAAGTCCCTTGTACTGTGGCCACTTTTGGCCTATTGTACCAGCCCCAGATGATAGGTGAGGGTGATTGTGGAGCAATTCGTGGAATGAAGATTGACAGGGGAAACCGAAGTACTCGGAGAAAATCTGCCCCAGCTCCACTTTGTCCACCACAAATCCAACTTGACCAGACCCGTGATCGAACCCAGACCGCCGCGGTGGGAAACCAGCGACTAACCGCTTGAGCTATGGCGGGGCCCTGTGCTGACTAACTTCATCAGCAACAGCTGTTTCGATTCATATAACTCGTCTTTACTGAAAAGGTTGAATATTGAGCTGAAAATTGCGAAGACAAATCTGCCCTCATGTTTAAGCACTACTCCAAAAAGGAATTTAGGGAGGAAGAAACTCCGTTGCCTGTAGTCCGCAAGCGAACTATACCGACCGAGCGACCGCCGCTTGTCGGCGAAGTTAGTGACAACTTTTGCGGATAGAGGGTGTCACGTGGTCAGCGCAACGGTTCCCCACGGCTGTTAATCTCGGTTTTCCAGACCGGAACAGCTATTTCCTTGAAATAGCTCCTCAATTATCCTCACAAGGCTGAGTGGACCCCGTTCCAGACCCACTACTACTCACGAAATCTTGTAGGGCCGGGAATCGAATCCAGGACCTCTGGATCTGTAGCCAGGAACTCTCACCACTAGACCACAGACGATGCTTACTTTACGGAGAGTGGAGGTAAATATTCTCAGATTTTAGACTTTACACTAGATTAAGCCTAGGAGTCAGCTTCAACCTCAAGTCGTGATAACTTGGGAGAAAGTGTCGTAGAAACCGATTGGATAGGAGGCTGGTTGAGCCCTAGGGTGGATATGGATGTAGTGTGATCACTTAACGGATTTAAGGTGAACAAATTTTTATATAATTTAAAATATTTTTCATTTAATTTTATAATTGTGTTCGGGTGTTAAAAAGAGTGCTCTAGTTCGATCAAATAGTTATCTAGTTATCTAGGATTTGAGGTTCTCACAGCAGTGGTTATGAATATTGACATCTTCTGGGATACAACAATGTATAGCCCGTTGGAAGTCTACCGACGTTTCGGAGGCGGTGTTCCTCCGAAGCGTCGGTCGACTTTCAACGTACTACGTAGGGTAATATTCCTGAATGCAGAACTCTCTAAATAGGTATTTGATCTACAAGTGTTCAGAAAACAGAGCGGGAATAAAAGGTTCAAATGATGCGCTGGGTTTGAATTCAATTAACAGTGCGCTGTGGCAAGGGTTCCCCTCCCTTGATATGTGACCCGCTCAGCAGGTCGCCCGTATAATGTTTTCCATTAGGACTGTAAACAGTGAGTTTCTTGAGCCACGGGTATCTGCCTGTAGGTGGCGGGCGAGAGGCGCTCTCTGCTGCCGCCCGGCTGTCTGTCAGTTGCCAAACGATTGCAGCCCAGCGAAGACGTAGCCACTGCGCGGGAGTCGTGTTGCATATAAACAAACATTAGTGAATGTGTGTTGAAGGTCAGCCACGTGGCACGCCCATGACTCTCCCCTTCTGCACTTGATAACTGTGTTCATTTATTTCATGGAACTGCGTTACTGTGGATTATACGAAGAGTGACCCAGTGAACGGTAAGATATTTGAATGAATTTGTAATACTGCAACCACGTACATCTTCCAGCCCAGGAATCAGTAGTTTATTTACAATTACGCTAGGCGTAACACGAATCATTCTAACATACACAGCATATTCCAGAATTCGGAATTTATTTACAGTTAATATCCTTTGCATAAACTATTCCAGCGGACGTAACTTACCCCCGAGTTTGGGGTTCATTTAAAACCATTAGACCTGAGGCAGATTAAGTACCGTATTTCAACACTCCTAACGTTTCTATGCCCATCACGGTAGCAGAACGGTCTAAGGCATGTACTGTCTTCGCTCTTGGGTTCGAATCCCACCCAGTGCATGGATGTTTAGTGTTTGTGTATGTGTTTATTCTGTGTTTATTTTGTAATGTGTTTAGGAAGAGGCCTTGCGACGAGCTGATCACCCGTTCAAGGAGTCCTACCGTCTGTAAAATGATCATGAAAGTGATAAATTAGGCCTATGCTCCAACGTGGGAGCAAGAGGAGAGAGAACTTTTCTCTGCATTCGGGGTTTAATAGAATTAATAGACTTAACACATGCAATTTGGTCATACTGAACCTGTCTTTCAGTTCCGATTTATTTACATTATCAGACCCAATGTCAACCTTTCCAGTATACCAAGTCTGTCTCACATTTCGGAACTTGTTCAGAATTTGCCCTTATTAAATAAAAAATCCATTAAAGGCCTACCTCATTTGTCCTTGAACTTGAATTTATTACACAGAGATATTGGGTTTTTGGACTTTATCCATCGTCCTGGTTGTTAAGATAACTAATAAAAACACGACGTTTCGGAAACTGGATCTGTTTCCGTCCTCAGCCTCAATCACTGGATTTCTAAGGGACCCAACAAAATAGGTGTTTTTCCCTCACCTGAGGACGGAAACAGATCCAGTTTCCGAAACGTCGTGTTTTTATTAGTTATCTTAAAAACCAGGACGATGGATAAAGTCCGAAATCCCAATATCTCTGTATGTTATACACCATCGTCAGAATCCTATAGTAACTACATGAATTTATTAGTTTGCCAGGATACGTAACGTCATAGAGGTTGGCACTCCTGTTTCGTGTTTGCAAATTTCGGGTCCGATTCATGGTTCGGATGTCGGCTATTTTGGGGCCTTTCGTGATTTGCTTCGGTTTTCTCCAAGAAAATACCGAGAGGGTACTCTAAAACAGGACATGGGCAGCTCCTTTGACACCGTGTTGAATTACTTACCCATAATCCGCGTCCTATTTGACACTTCGGATAGAGGATGTCACGGCGATTTTTAGCGCGAGGCACTAACAGGCGAGCAGCAGTTGGTTTCTCATATCCTACGTGCTTCACCGTGCTCCGTGCACAAATATTGGGGAAAGCGGGGTAAGCTGACGACGCTAAGAAAATTCATTCAAATAATGCATGGATATTTCAAGTATGAAACCAGTTTTTTTTATTTCAAGAAGTTCTGTTATTGAACTAAGAATATACATGTAAGATTTGAGGTTTCACGGCGGTGACCATGAAGAATACCGTCTCCTGGGATGTGGCGCCGTGTAGATATTGTGTAAACCGACGTTTCGGAGAAAACTATCGCCTCCATCTTCAGGTTAGAAAAATCTGCGAGCGAGGAACGAGTGTGAACAGGTGGCTGCTTTCCTCTAATTGTTAGCATCACGTCTGCACAGTTTCATTTACCAAAAGCAGTGAAGGTGAACATTCACAGTTGAACGAGAGAATTGCGCGGGAACATGTGAAGTGCTTTGTGCTGTCGGAAACTTCCCATCACTATGACGGAACGCAACTAACTTCAACAAAGAGGGACTTCGCAAAGTGTTCTGCACAAACCACACAGGGTCTTTAGGAAAGCAAAACGATCGAAGGGCTCATTTTTGGCTAGGTTTCTTTTTCGTATGTTATTTACAACGCTAACAGGGTGTTCCGGAGAATATTTGAACATGAAGAGAGATGAAGTGACAGGAGGTTGGAGAAAACTGCATAATGAGGAGCTTCATAACTTGGTCTCTTCTCCAAGTGTAATTAGAATGATCAAATCAAGGAGGATGAGATGGGCAGGGTATGTAGCATGAATGGGGGAGTTGAGGAATGCATATAGGATATTGGCGGGAAAGCCAGAAGGAAAGACACCACTGGGAAGATCAAGACGTAGGTGGATGGACAGTATTAAAATGGATCTTAGAGGGATAGGATGGGATGGTATGTTTTAGATTAATCTAGCTCAGGATAGGGACCAAGGGACGGCGCTTGTGAACACGGTAATGAACCTTCGGGTTCCATAAGATGCTGGAAAGTTCTTGAGTAGCTACACAATTGGCAGCTTCTCAATAATGGCTCGGCTATATGAGTGAATGATTTACAACGTTACCAGTAACTAGACTCCACAACGTAGAATGATAGGATGATTGATGAATGATATATTGCAATTTATTTGAAAGAAATTATCGTGTCTTAATTATTTCCGATATTTGCTTGGAGTGACCAGTTCAGACCACAAAAAAAACTCTGTCAGAACAGCCAGTGTTTCGGCCGAGATTCGAACGAGCACCTCCCGAATGCGAATGTAGAGTGTTCTCATTGTGTCAGGTAGTTCGGTTTTTGTTCTAGTAGGAAAGGGCTTACTAGAATTTGCGTGCAGTGAGAGAATATCAGTTGCCATTAGTGCATCAGTATCTTGGAGTAAATTTGTCCCTGTGCTTAACTAATTAAGCACTATGCCATGAAGTCATATGGGGGTGTGGATGGATAGATGGATATTTTCTAGACCTCGGAACGAGCTGAAGGTGTGTGGTCAAGTTCGCGCTCCGGCCGCTTTACCCCCGGGGAAAGAGCCCCCGGTACCGATTGAATAGGAGGTTGGGAGGACCCCAGAGCAGGTGCATTGCGGAGTAACCGTGGGAAATGAGAATTTCTAGTCTCGGTTAGCACCTGTTTTTTGACAGCTTTCATGCCGGCAGCTCGTAATGGAATCCTGAAAGGGGGCTTTCTTCTATGTTGCCCTGAAAGTGTCAAGATGGTAGGTCAGAATGATCTTCCGCACAGGGAGTTCTACAATCTCTCTGAATATGATCTAGAAAATCCTCAGTGTTTGAAGAACCTAAGACTGCAATCGAGCCTCAACACCATTTATTCTTACGTGTATTTTATATCACTTAAGTAGGAACTGGGATAGCGTAGTTAGTATAGCGATTGGCTACGGGTTGGACGACCGAGGGGTCGGAGTTCGAGTCCCGGTGGGGTCAAGAATTTTCTCCACGTCGTCCAGACCAGATCTGGTGTCCACCCAAGGTCGTATCCAATGGGTACCGGAAATGTTTTCCCCGGGGGTAAAGCGGCTGGGTCGTGAAGCTGACTACTCACATCCAGATAATGCTGAGTTCAGGAAAATGTGGATCTACACATCCACTCCCCCGTACGTCTTTATTGCGTAGTGCTTAATTAGTTAAGGACAGGGATAACTTTACGTTACCTAGAGAGTGCACTTTATGGCACTTAACAAATCCTGGCCATGTGTAAGGCTGCTGTGCAAGTTACAGAAATCACCGTCAGTCTTGGACCGCTGTTCTCGCCGCCTTTGGCAAGCTGAAGCTCATATACGAGTAATTCCTTAGAGAATAGTAGAATGGTATGAATGAAAGTATAAGGGGTGGCAGAAGTCAACAAGATCTCCCCCCCCCTTGGCACTACAGCCCCAGTGGGNTCCAATAACAACAACAACAAGCTCCCTGACGTTATCTTCCCATCTGTTTCTCGAACTTCCAAATAGCCGTTTTGTTCGTTCCGAGGATTTTGTTCAATTCCGTACAGTTACNAGTTGGTTCGATTAGTGATGGGATATTCAAAGGAATTGTTAAACTGCGGACGCTTCTATTGTCTTAATTTACTTTCTCCTTTTATTTGTTTTGATATGTTGTAACTACGCTCTCAGTGACTCAGAGTGCATATTATCGAATGATTGGATATGATTAATGAGCANCACCCTCACCTATCATCTGGGGCGGGTACAATAGGCCAAAAGTGGCCGCATTCAAGGGACTTAGTCCTACCCCACTAGCAATAAAAAATCTTAATGACTAGAGGTATATTGCTTCCAAGCCGGATGACAACCCCTTTTAGGCTGTCCCTCCCCCCCTTGGCACTACAGCCCCAGTGGGCCTAGGCCTACCTCCATGAACTTCTCCGTTCACTTCGGTTTTTCTAGATCTTACACATTC